AAAAAGACAATCTTAGTCTATAGTCAAGGTTGGCTTAAAATTGAAGCCATCTTCCTGTCTTAGCCTTTTCAGTGTTGGGATTATGATGTGTATACCCTATGCTTGGAAGCATGTTTTTATTTTTCAGAAAGAGTCTCACTGTGTAGCCTTGGTTGCTTTGGAACTTGCTATGTAGGCCAAGCTGGCTTCCAACTCAGAGAGATTCCCCTGTCTCTGTCTCCTGAGTTGTTTGAATCTTAGATGGTCTTTTAATAAGAAAACCCAGAGCCAGATATCAAGGTGAAAGCTGAAAGATCAGAGAAGCAGAACAGCCAGCCACTAGTTCTTACCTCTACAAAATCTCAGTCTAAAGAGAGTGAGTTCCTGTTTCCTCACGCCTTATATATCTTTCTCTGCCCTGCCATATTACTTCCTGGGATTAAAGGCATGTGTGCTTCCCAAGCAAAGGCATGAGATCTCAAGTGCTGGGATTAAAGGCGTGTGCCACCACTGCCTGCCCTCTGTGTCTAATCTAGTGGCCGGCTCTGTCCTCTGATCCTCAGGCAAGTTTATTAGGGTACACAATCTATCACCACACCAAGTGCTGGGATTAAAGGTGTGCAGCACCACACCCAATACAGCATGTTTTTAGTGTGCACTAAAATGTCTCTGGGATAGGTAGGGGCTCTGGGACGCTCTTCACAGCTTCTGGCCTCTGAGGAAGTTATTTCTTCCTGTTTCTCCCCTCTACCTTGAGGGCTTTTTCTGGAGTTGCCGGGTCCTGTCTTCCAGTGGGACTGAACCCTTTCCTCCAGGCTGGCACTACTCCCAGCCATCTTCAAGGTCAGGGCATCCTGAGAATTCGGTCTGTAGTTCACCAGTGTGTCCCCTGACTTCAGCTAGTTAAGATACAGCGAGATGTCACACACAGCTTTCCCTCATGTCCTTGCCCCCTTGGTGCATCTCCAGCCTATGGCTGGCGCCAGGTAGATACGGCTGCCACTTCACTCTCTTGGCTGCTGGTGGGGGAGAGGGAGTCTCAGGGCTTTTGCCTCGTGTGTGCATGTATGTGCAGGACCTTACATAAGGCCTCCCTTTGTGAGCTGAGGACCAAATAGGCTCTGGCTCCTCAGCTGTGTGGATTTAAAGCTTTCCATTTTTCTGCAGGTAGACAGTTATCAAATCAAGTGTGCAACCAGCCAGCAGCAGGCCCTGAGAGGCCTGGAGCACTGGATTCCTGGCACCTGGGAGGAAATCATGGTTGACATGAGCATTCTGCCTCACGTGTGTGGCTCACTGAGGGGCAGAGGCTGTCCTCCTAACCAATACACTTCTTGAAACATGCCCACTGCTGTCCTGGAGAGCTGTGGGGACCCAGAGCCACATCCAGGAGCTTTGCAAAGTCACTTGACACAGCAGAGGCCAGCTCTGATTCCACAGCGTTTTATTTCTAACTGTCCCGTGATGTGACCTCCCACTCAGTGGCAGGGGAAGGTGAGCTCCTGCAGAGTGACACAGTTCGCTCCTGCTCAGGCCCAGAAGGCAGCAAAGGTTCCCTCAGGCCCCAGGGGCCCCCCTAAATCACAACAGAAAACTAGCGTTCCCCAAATCTTCCACTGTCAGGGAAGAGTGGAGCCCAGGTATGAAGAGAGCCTTCAGCCTCCTCCTGGTGGAAGCAGGGGGACTCCACCAGTCCCCAGCCTGTGCTACCATGGTTCTAGTGCAGGGCCACAGCCACCAAGGGTGGCCTGTCCCAGCACCACTGCACCTGCCCGTCTGCAACTGGGTGGACAGGTGGCAAGGCAGCGCGGAGAAGCAGGGCCACCAGAAGGCCCGCCCTCCCTCCCTCCCGCCATTCGGTTTCAGTTAACACAGCCTGGCTCTGGGGCCCTGGGAGAAGCCAGGGACTTGGACCTGGTTTCCTAGGCACCAGCCAGCAGAGAAATCAAGCTGCTATTTCTGAGAATGGGGAGGGCTCCTGTCTCCATGTGGCATCTTAGAAGCCTAATGGATGGCAGACACCTACTGAATTCCTCCTCACACGGGAGCCAGGAACAGCTGACCTCTACCATATGTACCTCCATAGCTAAGTGGCTGGGAGGGGGCGGGCAGCAGCCACCCAGCCCAGAACCTACCATGGGCATGTGGACCTCGGAGTTCTGGGGGGGGGGGGGTTAGGAAGGCTCTCTGCCGGTCCCTTGGCACTCTACTGCACAGAAAGGACTGCACACCAAGTCCCCAAGATGCTGCATGTGGCTGTCTGGGGGAACCCTGTGACCACAGCACTGTAGAAAGCAGGTTGCTGATTCCAAGAACTGGCTCCTATATTCTGTAGGGATGGGCCACCACCACCCTGAGTGCCAGATCTCCAAGGGCACCCACGGCCCTCACTCTGAAGCATTACCTTCTGTGTGCCCAGCTGACCCGTCCCTTGGCCTAGACTGAACTTTACCACCCGCACAACTGGGTCATCTCCATGCACACATTCTCCGCTGCACAGACAGGCCTCACGGGTCTGCCTCGCGGGTCTGAGGAGGTGACGGCAGCACTTGGTCTCTCATCTGAGAAATCCCTCCAGAGCTCTGCTCCCTGACTGGGCCCTGGAAGGCTGGGCACTCTCCCAGGTGCTAAGCCCATAGTCCCCGGGAAGGGGCAGAGGTGCCTACTGACATGCAGGGCTGGTGCAGCAGCCCTCCCAAGCTCCCGGAAGCTCACTCAGGAAAAAGCAGGGGCCAAGAGTGGTATGTCCGAGAGGCCGGGTGGCAAGGGGCCAGTGAATGACACCTGATGCTTCACTGCTTCCTCTATGAATTTAAGGGTTAAAAAGAAATCTTGGCAAGCACTGAGTTTGGGAAGCAGCTTCCATCTCAGAGATGAGCCCGAGCCCAGCCCCACTCCCAATCCCACAAGGCCATGGGTGGAAGAGGACCCAGCTTGGCTGCGCCAAGGACAAGTGGCCTTATGTACAGAAGCAGACTGCATGCCTCCAGCTCGGCCACCTTCTGCAGCAGTGAGGTGGAGGACCTCAGAGGCCTGGCCCTCTGCCGACATCAGAACCACAGCACCGAGGTGCAAAACCCCACTCAGACCCACTGTGCCCCCACTGTGAGCCAAGGCCATACACAACAACTACGCACCAGGGGTGCAAGGACGGCCTAGGGCCACATGGGGAGTCGCTGAGGGGCCACAGACGGGCAGACTGCAGCAGCTGTAAAAGGGCAGGTTAGGACATCAGGCAGCGACCACTGCCTGTGGTGTGCCTTAGCCCGAGACATGCACGGGAGTGCGTCTGTGTGACCCAAAGTCACCGGCATCCCAAGTGGCAATTGATTGGAGTGGGGAACCCTGGTCTCAGGTGCTGTGCTCTGGCCACTGTCCCAGTGTCTTGGAGATCCGAGGCCCGGCACGGAGGGCAGAGGACCCAAGCTCCAGGAACTAGTAAAAGGCTGTGCTCTCAACAGCAGCTGGGCGGGAGGAGCTTCACACTATAGGGTCTAGTCAGAGGCTTCTGGGCAGAGGACAAGAATGCAGGAGGAGACTGGTGGAGAGGAGAGGATGTGGAGGTGGCTCCCACACTTAGGAAAGGTACCCCCAAGGACCCTGTGCCTACAGGGTCTAAAGATCCCCTTTGTCTCTTCAGAGAGTATTCGGAAACCAGGGGATAGGCCAACACCTTTCCTAGAAGCCTGCAGGCTGACCCCTGCCAGGTACCAGTGTAAACATTTGCAGTATGCCCACAGGAGGGCTGCAGCTGCCTGCCCAAAGCAGGCTGAGAGGTGCCAGTTCCATGTCAAAAAAAAAAAAAGGTCCTTTAGCCTTTCTCTTTGGGAACGCAGGACACAGGACAGGGAGTGTGAGGCTTTCAGAGTCACTTGGCCTTGGCACCAGGTTGAGGCGGCTGCTGCTGCCGCTGCCGCTGCCGCTGCCGCCGCCAAGGCTCCTTGACAATGCGGGGACAGAGCAGATGTGTGCCAGCAGCTGCTCCAGGGATGTGAGGAAGGTATGGCCCACGCACAGCGTGAGCTGAGCAAGCCAGCCTGCCTAGTGTTCTCTGTGGCCCGGCACAGAAGCAGAAAGGGGCTGCTGCTGCCCTCCTCTGTGGGCCCAGGAACAATGCTGGGGCAGGTCTGGTTCCGTGAGTCATGGAGGCCGATCATGTTTCTGAAGCCAGCACTCTCCAAAGGCCTGAAGCTTCCTAGCTAGGACTAGCCCTTGACCTACCTACCATCTTGTGTTCTGAGGAGGCTGTATGAGGCATCTTCTTCCAGGCCCAAGATGTTGTGGGCTCAGAACAGCTCCTGCTCATCGTCCTCAGAGCCTGACGGGCCCTGGCGGACCTCTTCATACCACTTGTTGGTGAGGCTTTTCATCTGGATGCGCCCATGGTGGAGGTCCTGGAGTGAGACAGGGTGGAGTGACGTCAGTGACGGGTCAGGGGACAAGAGGCTGCTTGGAACCTGTGTGTTGGAGATAACAGGAGGGCCTGCTGAGATCTGAGGGGACGGGGAGAAAAATGGCATGTAGAAACTCAGCCTTAGGAATTAGATAAGCCTGGTCTCTGCCAGCTTTGCAGTGTGCTGCCCCATGGATATGAGCTCCTTTCCCTGGGCCTTGCTTTCCCTGCTGTCAAAAGTGAGGTAGCATGTTTTGCTGCTTAGCTGTTGGAGGACATGGTCTTGGGGGTGGGGTGGGGTGAGATGATGTTGTGGGGAGAGGGAGAACAGCCAGGAGAGCCCCCACGCCTGGAGGAGACAGCTGCAGTGCCAGGAGGGCCAGGGCCACAGGTCGATCTGAGACTTCTTGGCTCAGCATCAGAGGCTGACCCACATTCCTGAGGGCAGTAGGGAAACCCAAACTGTTGTTAGCCATCTTCCAAGGTGTGCAGGGAAGAAAGCAGCAGGGGTAGAGCTGGCTGCTCACTAGCTCCAGCAGTGGCTTCCTCCGCAGCCTTGGCCACTGCAGGCCTGAGCTCGGGAGGCAGGGTATCCGAGACATGCCTACCTCCTGGGTCAGCCGCCGTGTGAAGAAGGGGTTCAGGTACTTGGCATCCAGCCACATGAAGCCTTTGAGGTCCTGCTTCCTGATGTAGTGGGCTTCGTACTCCTCCTCGGTGAGCTCTGACAGGTGTTCTGACTCGATGGCATTGCCCTGGGTGACAGAGCTGGCAGTGTCAGCAGGCACTTCCCTGGGAGCCCCACTCTGCCTTCTTGCCAGAACACCACCAGTACACACTCTACCCTAGACAGCAATCACAGGCACAGACCTTTTGGGGCCCCCAAAGCCTACCCTCTGCAGGGAGGCCCAGTGACAGGTTTGGAGCACAGGAGTCTTCAAAGTTGCCAAGCCCTGTTGGCCTGGGCCTGCCGTGCCGAGGAAAATGGGGGGTGCACAGTCAGTCTCGGCTTTGAGAACCCTGAAGATGCCACAGATTTCCGCCAGCCCCAGCTGTACTTTCTGCGGCGAGTCAGTGGCGGGGCTACAGATCTGCACACTTAACAAGTGCCTATGCTGCTGCTGGTTGTGTGCCTCAGTGTTCTTCTCCCCTGTAGGATGGGGACTATGAAAGTCCCAGCTACCTGCAGAGTCCAAGTGCCATGGCCACAACAGTGTATTACGGTTGTCTGAGAGCGGCTGCAGCCTTGGCAGAAATGTCAATCAACACAGGGCTCACATCTCTAACTCCCAGCACTTGGGAGGTTGAGACAACAAGACTGCAAGACAGTTGTAGCCATAACACTGTCAAGTCCAGCTTCGTCTACAGAGTGAGCCCTGTATCAAAAGGCAAAACTGGGCTGTAAAGACAGCTTAGTGGTTCTGAATGCCTGCTGCTTGTCCAGAGAACTCTAGTTCAGTTCCCAGCAGCCACGTTAGGCTCATAGCTGCAGGAAGCTCTAGTTCTGGAGGATCTAATGGTCTTAATGCTCTCTTCTTACATTCATGGAGGTGTGCATGCGCACTGCCCCCGCCCCCCAGCAAGCACGTTACCATGGCAAGGCATACACATACACAGACACACATATACTTTAAAAAAAAGTTGAAAATAAGGAAACAACAACAGCAGCATAAACAAAAAAATAGAGATCACAACACAACACCAAGCCAATTGGTTAGCTGGAGGAGAGGCCTCTGAGAATGGGAAGGACCTGCAGAGCCTGAGGCTGGAGGAAATGCTCTGGACCAATGGCTCTGACTCTCCCACTCTCAGATGGCACTTGGATGACTGACCCAAGTTACTGACATCTCAAAGAGGGAGACTAGAAGGCAAAGCATCTCAGGATGCAGGAGGGGTGGGTGGGATAGGAGGATGGGTCAGGAGTCAGGGCTGCTGCAGTAGGGAGGAAGGCAGGGGGCCAGGGTAAGGTAGCCCCAGCCTGAGAGTGGCCTGGCAGCAGGAGGTGGCTCACAGGAAGTAGAGGGGGGAAGGGGCACAGAAACCTCCGTTTCCAATATGTCTGGGTCCTGAACACCTCTATCCCTGAACCGTGATCCCTCTGTTCTTGAGGATGCCACCTTGCTTACAGCCCTCATAGCTACCACAAGCCACCATCCTCTCGGCCCCTCTCAAGAGATGTGAATGCACACTGAAGAAACCCTCATTTTGAAACCTCTTGGTCTCTGACCTGGGCTCCTGGCTCAGCTCCTGGCAGCAGAGGCACACTCCCAGGACGCTGGCATAGGATCAGGCTCTACTTCAAATGTCCTGAGCTACAGATGGCATCGTCCTCAGCTTCTATGGCTCCAGCAGGTCACAAGGCTGGCACACATCCTACCTCAGAGAGCCATGCTTCAGAAGCCAAGTTCTCGTACCTGTTCTCAGGCCTGCACCGCTGACCGAGGTAAGCAAGTGCACATGCCCCCAGAAGCCTGACCTGCTCCCCCTGGCAGACAGGCCGCAGGGCCCACAGGCGTACTAACCATCTTCTCAGTCTTGCTGAGGTTGACATCCTTCTTGCTCCTGCGGCGTGCCCGGGCATCCTCAATGTCCACAAGGCGGATGAGGGGCATGGTGCTGCCGCCCAGCAGCAAGATCGTGAAGAGCACAATAACAATGGTGGTGGTGCCAATGAGCTGCCGCTTCTCCATGGGCTCCAGGCCCAGATGCAAGCTCAGTGCATAGGGGATGGCCCCTCGGAGGCCTGCAATGGTGAAGGGAGATTCAGGCCAAGCCAGAGGGGGCGGGGCAGAGGAGAAAGTGGCTCCATCCCGCTCAGCACCACTAACCGTAGGACCTATACCTGACAGAAATGGCCTAGGGTGTGAGAAGAGGTATCAGGGTGGACAGGCTGAAGTCCCTTGCATGTTCTGCATGGGCTGGTTCCAGGCAAGGTGACTACAGCCATGCTGCTGTGTAGCAGGTATATTTGGGGGCCCACCAGATCTGTCATATGACAGCTAAGGTAGCTGAGTCCTCCCTGGGGTTCCCAGGCCCTCAACTAGGTGCTCTGTGCACAGGCAGGGTAGCCTGCCACAGAGCCTGCCCAGCAGGTGCGGCCACTCTCCACAGCACACAGGTCGGGGAGCAGCCTAGAGTGGACGTGCAGCAGACACAGGCAACAGTGTATGCCTGTCTAAGGACTCTCTGTGGAGCTTGCTGGCAAGGACGACAGGACTAAGGGTGTGGACAGAGCTGGAGGCAGTTGCTCTGCACCATACACACGGAGCAGGGGATCCCAAGCCCTGCCTTCACAAGTCCCAGAGCAGCTGGGACAGTAAACACAACACTAAAGTCACAAGAGTCACTGGGAACAGACATGGAAGGGGGAGCTTGGAGAGGGCCTGGCTGCTGCAGCAGTCCAGCCCTGAGATGGCCAGGAGGCCAGAGTGGGTGGACTCAGAGATATGAGCAGGGGGATCTACTCTTCTCCAAACCCACAAGGGTCACAGGATGAGGGGACCTGACACGTATGACAGGCTCAGTGTGCACATATGCCTAGCGGTACCAGGAAGGCACCCATGTATTCCAATCCACCTTGCTGCTTCCCATGAAGGGAGGGCAAGCCAAGCAGCAGGCAGGCAGTGGGCTCTGGCTCAAGGAACTTGCTGTGGCCCATGACACCCAGAAACAGAAGTAGAAACGGTTCTAGAGGAAGGGCTGGTTTGCAGAGCTGCATAGATGGAAAGGCCAGATCAGGAAGTCCATACTGTCAGAGGACAGGTTTAGAAAGAGGTGGGGCCTGGCCCTAGGATGCCACTGTCTGGGGTCAGTGTGGGAAGTGCTGGGTGGGAGGCTGGGGAGCCCCAGGGGAGCCCCAGGGGAGGTGTCTTTGGTATACTGGCAACGGTAATGGCCCGGCAGATACACTAGGTTGAGGGCTGATGCTGCAGAAGCCACCTGTGAGTTGATCAGGGCCAAGGCCAGCAGAGCAGAAGGGAGCAGAGTGGGCAAAATGAGGACAGGGTGAGGGCTGGGAGGAGACACTGACTGCTGAAGTAATTCCAGCACTTGGGAGGCAGAGGCAAGGATGACTGCAAGTTCAAACCTAGACTACACTGCAAGTGTCAGGCCAGCCAGACCTCTACATGTCCATGTGAGACAGGGTCCAGGCTGGACTCAAGCTAGAAATCCTCCTTCCCTGTTCTTCCAAGTAGCTGGCATTACAGTTCAGTGCCAGTGACCTTGGCTCACAGTTTTACAATAAGGCCTTTCTGAAGAAAAAGGGTTGAGGCAAACTGTAGTGGACACTATGAAGCACTGCAGCCCACATGGAGATATTCAATTATATTCATTATTATTTTATTTTTTGAGATGGTCTCACTCTGTAGCCCTGGCTGGCCTGGAACTCTCAGAGATCTGCCTGCCTCTGCTGGGACCAAGGCATGTTTCACCACACTTGACTACCGACATTGAAATAGGAGGAGTACAGAGAGTTAAAGGTTCTAAGACTGATTCTTTAGAGCTGAAGGTTGACAAAATCATCCCAGCCTTGAGAAGGTAGAGAGGTGTGATTGACAGGCAGCTGCAATGCTCAGATTCAGCTATGAGGACTCTGCAGCAGAGGAGAAATAACTTGCGTAGCATGAGGAAGCCCTGGGTCAAATCCCTATGCTCAGCAACACTCCACACTCCACACCATGCTACACAGGCCTGCCAAGGGTGTGCATGGAGCTGGACAGGTCCTTGCTTTGCCTCCAAGGGTTCCCGGAAGCTAGGCATGATCTTTGCCCTCCTGGAACCTGAGAGTCTTCATCCCAGGGACAGAAAGGGCCAACCACTTCATGATGCTGTGATGAGGGTGCACCATTTGGTAGCACCTGTTGGAGCCTGTCTTCGCAGGGACCCATGTACACAGCCCAGGCTTAGGCTCACCCACCCCGGCTGTCACTCACCACTGAACCACATGATGAACATCATCTTAGGGGTGATTTTGTGATCTCGGAAGAAGTTCAGCAGGTAGGACAGAGGGAAGATGTTGACGGCTCTGCCGAACAGTACCAGCACCTGTCAATATCAAATGTCAGTGTGGTGGAATCCACTGCGTCTTCAGGCTAACATCAGTGGAACACACCTGTCTAAGGCAGTCTCACCCTCAGCCATAGACAACCCACCAGCACAGCAAGGATGGAGACTCACACGTGTGCTGCTGCCCTGGCTCTGCCTGGGTGAAGCTTTTTGGTCTGACCTTTTGTCTCAGATGCTAGAAGAGGAGACTAGCAAGCATCATTCTGGGCTTTAGTCACACAGCCTCAGAACAAAGGCAGCCACGACCAGGCTCCCAGTCTGGCCTAGAAACAACCAGCCAAGGACAACCAGGACTCTACAGTTGGTGGGTTCATGCTAATCTCCCCCACTGGGGCACTGTGGGGAGAGGGGACAACAGACAGGTACTCCAGTCTCTGCTCTGGGGTCTGGCTCCTCAGAACAAGGAGAGTGGGCTGAGTGAGGCCTACCTGGGAGCGCAAAGGTGGCTCAAGTCCTGGGCCTGCTGTGGGGTAAAGCCTCTGAAAAGGCTTCCTTCCTACTGTAACCAACAACAGCCAAGAGGGGCTGGGGGAGGGGCTGGGGGAGGGGCTGGGGGAGGGGCTGGGGACAGAGCATCTGCAGCTGTACAGGGCTCTCCCCCTGAGATCTGTGCTCACAGGACAGAACTGTGACACAGGCAAGCAGCCACTCTAGATGGAGGTCACATGGGGATGGGGAAAGGACTCAATAGGACCCAAGAAAAGTGGGGTCTCCTGCAGTTGACTGCACTTCTCCTTGTCTTTTTTGAGGCAGGATTCTGCTGTGCAAGTCCAGGCTGTTCTTGAACTTACCATGTAGTTAAAACTGCCCTTAAAACATTTTACTGGGGGGCCTGGAAAGATGGCTCAGTGGTTAAGAGCAGTGGCTGCTCTTCCAAAGGACCTGGGTTCAATTCCCAGCACCTACATCGCAGTTCACAACTGTCTGTAACTCCAGTTCCAGGGATCTGACACCCTCAAACAGACATACATACAAGCAGAACACTAAGGCACATAAAATAAAAATTAAATCATTAAAAAAACAAAAACAAGGGGTTGGGGATTTAGCTCAGTGGTAGAGCACTTGCTTAGCAAGCGCAAGGCCCTGGGTTCAGTCCTCAGCTCTGGAAAATAAAAAATAGAAGATAAAAAAACCAAAACCAAAAAACCCCTCTGTATTGTCTTTTTTTGAGACAGGGTCTCACTGTGTAGCCCTGGTTGGTCTGGAACTTGCTACATAGACCAGGGTGGCCTTGAACTCACTGGGACTAGAGGCGCTACCATACCCAGCTGGCCTTAAACTCTTCATCCTCCTGCCTCCATCTCCCAAGTGCTGGGGTTCTAGGTACCCACTGCTGAGCTCTGGCTGAAACTGTATATGTAAAGGCATATACCATTCAAAACACTGAAAATGTAAAATGTCTAGACCTTACTGTCTGGGATCGTTTAAACAAAAGAAATTTCAACAGAAGCTTGTCTTTGCAGCTGCTGACTCTGAACTGGTGATAGTTACAAAAGTGGTTCTAGACCATGTACTTGCTGTTCTGAAAATAAGCATTCAACAAAAACAAGAGAAATACTTACTATGCACCAGATGACAAAGGAAATTTCAAACTTGTGAGGGAAACTAAAAATGGACAGGCCAAGAAATGCAAACACACACGTTTCTGAAAGAAACCAAAGAGTGGATTATTCACCCCAGTTCCTTCCTTACAATTCAGTAGTAACTTAAACAAGCATCCCCAAAGCCACACCAATAGTCATCTTATTTTCTGGAAAAGTCTTGCAACAGATACTGTGGTCAGACTTTGTACTTCATCTTCGTGCGTGCGTGTGTGTGTGTGTGTGTGTGTGTGTGTGTGTGTGTGTGCGCGCGCGCGCGTGCGTGCGTGCGTGCGTGCGTGCGTGCGTGTGTAGGGAGCAGATGGGTTGAGAAGGTCTTACAGACAGGCTGGGACTGCGGGCGTGGATCGCTAAGGCCAGCGTTCTGTTTCTGCCACACAGGCAGTATGCCCTGCTACTGAGAATCCCCAACATCAGGAGTCAGTTGTCGGACACGGTGTGCACAAACAAGCTTCCACCTGTGCATCTGCTGAACACTGGCCAGTCAGGGTTCATCATGGGAGCAAAGAGGCAAAAATTCCAAGCACTTGACTGTAGGTGCCACATGGCAAGTGAGAAGGGGCCTTGAGTTAACGCCCTCCCAGTGCACAATGCTAGCAGCACCCACTGGTGGACAAAATGCACCGATGTTGGCTGGAGGTTCAAGAGGCAGCTAACCCACAGGGCTTGTGGGAAGGACCCATCTGTAGGCGTAGTTGCACTCAGTGTACAACTGTCACTTGCGTGTGCTAAGCAGAGCACCTCATAAATTCCAGGCTCCTGATTAAATTATGGGGCTCAAAAGAAGAACCCAACAGAGCCCAACACCTCAGGAGACAGGCAGCATGTTAAATGTGAACATAAGGCGGCGAGGCTGTCACCTCACTTCAGTGGCATGTGCACTGGCTGGTGTCCTCTTCAACGCAGCAGCCACAGCCAGCAGGGTCTTGTCCTCCCTCCTCTCCCTGAGATCCTTAGCTAATGCTGGGCCATCCTTCAAGAAAGTGCATTCAGGCCCACCCCACTTTTCCCTGGCAGCAGGGAAGTATCGTTGACTTAACCCATCCTTTCAGGGTGGTGGCCATGTACGCTGCTTCTGGCAATGCAGGCCACATGAAGACAGCCTGGCGCACTGGCTAAACTTCTCATGGAGGAGCAGGTCAGGAGAGAGCACGTGCCTGGTGAATTCCCACAGATGCTGTGACGGAGCTTCAGGAGGAGATGGCATACATGTGCAGCCCCAGAATTGAGTGCTAACCAGAGCTGGTCTGGGGCACAGAACAGAGACACCGAGAGGTGCACCGTTCTCTGCTCCTCCCTGAGGGCCAGGTCAGAGCCTCTGACCAAGGCTTTCTGGTACGAGCTGTGGATCAAACAGCCACTGGGGCACTAGAGGCCAGTCTTCCAGCTCGCTCCTTGGCAATGGGCTATCTGGCCTCTCCTCACCTAGCCTCCCGACCTTCACAGATAGCCCTGCCGTCCAGGTTCTAAAGTGAAATGGCCCCTTGACACCAGGGGATGCTAAGATTGCAGCTGAGGCCTAGCCCCAGGATATATATGTGTGTGTGTGTGTGTGTGTGTGTGTGTGCGCGCGCGCGCATGCAGTTTAAAAGGATGCCTGAAGGTAGCACCTTTACTCCAGGTATGACCAGGAATGGGTACATGGTAAATGGAGGGGGAGGAAGTGCCAACTGTCACTGCTTAAAAAAAAGACCTCACATTCGTCCCAGGGATTGCAGCTCTGGAGTTTCCCCCAGTGCTAGGATGCCCTTGCTTAGAAACCCACAGTGCCCCTAGGTGGAAAGCTGTTAAAACATTTCCAAAGAGCCGGTGGCGGCGCACGCCTTTAATCCCAGCATTTGGGAGGCAGAGGCAGGCGGATCTCTGTGAGTTTGAGGCCAGCCTGGGCTACAGAGTGAGTTCCAGGACAGGCACAAAGCTACACAGAGAAACCCTGTCTCGAAAAACCAAAAGAAAAAAAATTCCCAAGAACAACTGTGGAGATCTCCACATTTACATCTGGAACATCCAGCAGCAGTTCTATCTTTGGCCATAAACTGCAGGCACCAAACGTCTTAAGTACTGTACATCTTTTACGGAATCACAAGCCACAGGAGCCAGCCCAGGCAGGAGGTAGGAGCATGGTACTTGCTGGGCTTGGAAGGATTCTGGGCCCTGATGCCAAGGAAAAATCCTCGCTTACACCCCATCAGAGCAGGAATCCCAGTTGTGTGGGCACTCAGAGGTGGGACTCACCACACAGGAAGGCCACAGTCCGGAGGGTCTGCTGCATGAGGATCTGGGTGACTGGGGAGAGGTTATGGTGTGTGTAGTGTGACATCACGATACCAGAAAACAGGATAGCCATGATGCCTGGAGAGAGAGGCAGAGGGCAGACATGACACAGAACACAGGGACAGGTGTGCGAGTCAGACCACACTCTTCTACAATCCCAGAACCCCACTATCAGGGGTGTAAGAAAATGGGAGGGGCTGGAAAGACGACTCAGAGCAATGGCTCCTTTTCCTCAACAGGTCTCTATACAGCCCTTACCTAAGGGTGGAGTCCTGGCGTCAGGGAGAGCCCTCCTCATTCAGCTATACCTGCGCCTGGGAACACGGCATGCAGCGTGCTCTGGCCCTGCAAGGCTGCAAGGCTGGTGCTCTTACAACTGGACAAACAGTGGGCCCAGGATCCACACCACTTTCGGCAGAGAGCTGACAGACGGGCTGCTGACTGACCCCACAGCACGGAAGGCTGTAGGAACCAGTGCTCAGTGGACAGCCCTCCTCCTCCACCTTGGAAGTACGTACCTTCTCCCCGGGGCTCAGGGGCCCGTGTTTGAATCTCACAACCTCAGCCTTGAGTAAGAAGTCAACTAGGTGCCCACTCCAGGGGGTGGCAAGGTGAAAACCTGAGTGTCAGCCAGTGAGGGAGCTGTGACAGCAGCAAATGTTTTGTTTTGCTTTTGTGCTGCGTACACTGTATATACACGCTCAATATGAGCGTCTGTGTGCATATGGAGGTAGAGTTTGATTTGACCTCAGGTGTCTTCCTCTACTAATTTCATTTTTTTGTTTTGTTTTGTTTTTCAAGACAGGGTTTTTCTGTGTAGTCTTGGAGCCTGTCCTGGAACTCGCTCAAACTCACAGAGACCCGAGTGCTGGGATTAAGGGCGTGCGCCACCACCACCCAGATTGGATCTCATTGTGAAGGAGGCCTTCTCACTGAACCTGGAGCTCATCAATTCTACTAGACTGGCTGGCCAGCAAGCTCTAAGAATCCTCATATCTCAGCGCCCCCTGCTGGTTACAGACACATGCACGCTGCGACATCTAGGTTTTACTCAGCAGCATGGGTCCAAACTCACATCCTCATGCTTTCACAGGGACACTTTACCAACTGAGCTGGCCCTCCAGCCCCTGACTTTTAAAACGAGATGACGTTGATCTAGGACTTTGTATGTCTGTCCTTTGTCTGTGTGTGTGTGAATGTGTGCACCTGTGGAGGGCAGAGGACAAATTTTCGAGTTAGTTCTCAACCTTCCACTATGGAAATTCTGGGGATCAAATTAAGGTCATCAGTTTTGGTAGCAATTACGAGGCAACTGCCTTCCCTTGCTGAACCATCTCATGAGCTTGATTGTTTCTGAGGTAGAATCTCATGATGCCCAGACTAACCTTGAACATGCTATGTGGTGGAAGATGACTTTGAACTCCTGATCCTTCTGCCTGCACCCCCAACCCTCAACCAACAATGTACTATTCTTCAACCTCAGATTTTCTTGTGGTCAAACAGGGGCCATCACAGCACCTTTGTGGCAGAAAAAGCACCTCAACGGACAAAACCTCTATCCCCAGGCAAAATACCGAGCTGTGGTCACAGTGTGCTGGTGACTGTCTCTAGCCATGGTCACAGTGTGCTGGTGACTGTCTCTAGCCATGGTCACAGTGTGCTGGTGACTATCTCTAGCCATGGTCACAGTGTGATGGTGACTGTCTCTAGCCATGGTCACAGTGTGCTGGTGACTGTCTCTAGCCAGGGTCAGAGTGTACTGGTTACTGTCCTTACCAGAGAGTGAGATCCCCTCTGCCAGCCCATACGGCAGGTAAGCAAAAATGATCATCATGCCAAACTCCAGGGAAGGCGTCCTCCTCAGGTCGATGTGCTTCAGCACGTGGCCCAGTGTCAAGGAGAAAGGAAAAGGCACCAGATGGACGCGAGGCAAGGCGGATACATACGCAGATGAGCAGCACAGGAGACGCTGATCCTGGCACAGTTACCTGGGGAATTTCTCATTACGAAACTTTTCTCTTTGTAGAAATGAGAATCTGACAAGCCGCTCAGAAACACTGACTCAGCTGGGGCTGCAGACACAGGTCACTCAACTGCCTGTTCTCCAGGGACTCATCGCCCTGCTGAAAGGCCCGTCTTTCCTGTCCCTGCAGAATAGCGCACTCATGCTCTGGGAACAGAGGCCCGTGTTCCCAGGCCCCGACTGAAGCTGAGTTTCCATGTACTCACTACAATATGCGGCCACACTCACTGCTTCTTTCCTTCTTTCCTTCTCTGCCCCTTCCTCCTCCTCCTGCTGCCTCTCTTTCAGACAGGATCTTACTATGTAGCCCTGCTGGCCTCAAACTTGTGGGAGCCCTTCTGTCTCGGTTTCCCAAATGCTGGGATTACAGCCATGTACTGCCGTCTCTGGCATGCTTTTTAAAATTTTTACATTTGATGTCTGAGTGCTTTGCCTGTATGTCTGTGTGCCATGTGCCCATGACAGTGCCCACAGAGGCCAGAAGAAGGAGTCTGATCCCCTGGACCTGGAGTTTCAAGTGGCTGTGAGCTGCCCCGGGGTGCTGGGAACTAAGCGTGGATCCTCTGTAGGACAGAACAGCAGTTCTCTTCCTGCTGAGCTAGCTGTCCGTCTGGAGGAAAGGCTGCATTGACCGTGTCAGCCTCACTCTGCTTCCTGACAGCTGCCAACCAACCCAGGCAGCCTTCAGCCTCTGGAGAGAGGACAGACCAGAACAGAGCCAGGATGGTGGGAAACATACTCAGACCCAGCTGGCTGACAGACGAACTGCTCCAGGAGGGACATGTGGCCTACTCTGGAGCCTGTCCTATTTCTGCATGACAAACTGTTGCCAGCAGTAAGGTCTCATTGCTGTAGAGCCTCGTTCTCTGCCCGACAGCCCTCAGCTGGAAAGCAGTTCACAGTGCAAACCAGGATGGTCCTTGCCATCCTTCCAGGTAAACTCCCCCCAGGGAGGGGCTGTCAGTGGTCCACACTGTTGGGCTAGAGAGAGCTCTGTGGTTAAGAGCTGCCCCACTGAGTTCGGTTCCTCGCACCCACATCCAGTAGCTGACAACTGCTTTCTTTTTCTTTCTTTCTCCCTTTCTTTTTTTTTGAGACAAATTCTCTCTACATAGCCCTGGCTGTCCTGGATCTCACTCTGTAGACCAGGCTGGCCTTGAACTCAGAGATCCACCTGCCTCTGCCTCCTGAGCACTGGGATTAAAGGCGTGCGCCACCACCTCCTGGCTGCAAAACCTTCCTTTAAATAAACTTTAAAGTTGGGTTCTTGAGGAAGAGGGGAAAACAGTGAGCATGGACACCATCCATGTGATCCTCGCGCTTTGTGCTCTCATGCTAAAAGGATATCAATGCAGAAATCAAGCCAGTCAGCGTGCCAAGTGCCGCAGAGCCAAAGAACATTTTGAGGAAGTACCCGAGGGCCTGTGAGAACGTTTGCCACCCACTGACATCTGACATCTGTTTCCTTGTTAGACCTTCAGCCGTGCTAGGAAAGAAGAAAACAGAGAGTTAAGTGCTACAGACAGAGTCCTTAGAATCAGCTCCGACATAACTTACTGTTCCTTCCAGAACTCCCCCTTCCTTCCTGCCATTCGATCCACCGCTGGAGGCTTCTATGGTCACCTACTTGTCCAAGCACTGAGGTTGTTTCTGGGGCTCAGAGGTGAGGGCAAAGGTGATGTCCTCAGGAGCTGCCCTGGGTAATGAGGGGGAAGGGCCAAGGGCTATAAAAACAGGGTGGGCATCTAACTCAGACTGGGGTAGATGGGTGATTGAGGAAGGTTCCCCAGGCAATGCAGGCTGGGTTTCCATTTAGGAGAAAGGGTTCTCAGGCTGAGGAAACAGTGCCCAGGAGTAGGGAGCTTGAGTGGGAACATTCAAGTACACGGAGGATACCAACTCCCAGTGGACCACAGCCACACACTGTGTGTCAGAATGCAACGGGAGAGTCCAGCTGCTGCTCAGGACATACCTGCAATGGCTTCCCCCTCTCAGTCACCTACAGACACCCTGCTGAGAGACTGGGAGTCCCTAGCTAACAGACTTCCCCGAGGAGCCAGGACCTGTTCCCTGGGAAGTGAGTTGACAGACTTCCAAGGGGTACTGGTGGCCACGCACGCACGCATGCACTCACGCACGCTGCTCCCACTTCCTCCCCTGTCTCCTCCCTGGAATCAGAGAGCCTCCACGCTGGCTTATGCTGTGAAACCTTCCCGTCCTCACAACAGTGTAAACTAAACTCCCACTCTGTCCACGGCATCTCTGATGCTAGAACCTGAGAGGTCCTTGGAGCCCCCACCACGGGCCTGCCTCTCTGCCCGTGGTGTGAGCAGCTTTCCCAGTACACTAGTGATCATCTCTCCCTAGTGATCATCTCAGCGTCCCCCGCGGACACGCCCCATTTCCCATCTCACAGCAGCTCAGCACTCTTTACTTCTGGCTAGACACATGCTGCCTCTTACTAGAGCGGGAGTGGAGTTCCACATAATAACTGGCTGTCACAGCCAAGGACCAGCAGGGGCTTGGGACTGCCGAAGAAATTAAAGCAGACTTACACCCTCGGCATAAGACAGGATTTCCTCCCCAGCTACTGACAAAAGAACAAACTGAGAGCAACAAATTAAAGCCAGCAACGAGCAACTGGGAGACTGAGGTAGAAAGATCAGGAGTTCAAGGCCAGCCTAGGTTACAGGAGACTCTTTCTTAAAAACAAAAACCAACAAAACCGCCAAACCACTAAGTAAATAAATAAAGCTAAAAATAACCCAGGAGTTAAAGAACCAGAAGGACCCTTCTGGGAAAGGAAGAGAAAGGAGGCCATTCACTTGCATACTTCATTTGCATGTGTACTCGGCATAGGCCAGATGTCTGACAACTTTGGAAGGAACTGTTGACAAGCATCCTTTCAGAACTAAGGAGGGACAGCTGGGTTTTGGTAGTTCAAAGGCCAATGAAAAGGGGAGAGGCCTTCTATCCTCATTCTTCCTGCTTCTATCTCAAAATGTTCACTGGCCTGCAAGGCCTGGAGCATTAAGACAGCCTTTCTGGAATCCTCCATGGCATTCCTGCCCCACTCTTTCATGTCTCTTCTCTTTGGCACACCATGGACCAAGTAAGTCAAATCCGAGTGGAATCGAAACGCAAAGGCAGGAGGTGGACAACCCTTAGAGCATTTGCAGTCCAGAGAATCTGACTGTGTGGAGGTGACCCGTCTAGACACACTGAATCCAGAGCCACCGCAGGAACTGACGTGGCGGCCTCTGAAGCCCCTCTTCCAGTAAGATGTGTCATGGGGACATCTTTGCCCATTTGTTTCCAAAACAGCTCTTCGACTTGGCAGGTGTGTGGCAGAGGCCTGAGAAAACTGGCATTTCCTTACTGACAGATTTTTTTTTCTTCAAGGACATCAGAGGCAAAGCAACTGAGTTCTGATCCTAATCATAAAAATAGCTTTTGTCATCACCTCCAAGCAGGCAATTCCTTATCACAATGCTTAGTGCACCAGGAAATGAGATGCAGGCAAAATCCAGAACTAAGAAGCTTTCAGAAAAGAATGGATTTTGGACACAATGTCCCATGTAGCCCAGGCTGGCCTCAAATTCCTTATGTAGTAGAGGATGACCTTTAACTTTTGGTCCTCCTGTATCTATTTCCCAAATGTCGGGATTATAGGTATCTGCTGCCATGCACAGTTGTATGTGGTGCTCTGGATTGAACCCAGGGCTTTGTACCTGTTGGGCAAGCACTGTACCAACTAAGTTAAACTTTCAGGAAATATCTTACAACGAAAACCAGCTGCCGTCTATGCTCTAAAGGCCTTATGCAACGATACTCAACAATTTCCCAACTAAAACCATAGGCATCTCTATCAAGAGGGGTGTGAGAAAGCCAGTGAGAAGGCAGTGGGTGAACATGCCAGTAAAGTGATACCCAGGAATGATATTACCTTAGACAAATTTTTGTTTTGTTTTGATTTTAGACAGGATTTCTCTGTGTAGCCCTGGCTGTCCTAGAACTCACTCAGTAGACCAGGCTGGCCTTAAACTCAGAGATCCTGCTGCCTCTGCCTCCTGAGTGCTCAGTTAAAGGTGTGCGCCACTAAGCCCAGCAACCTTGAACTCTTAACCCTCTTGCTTCCACTTTAAGGGTTAGAAGTGTATGCCAACATTTTCTGCCTTTTATATAGAATAACAGAAAGATTCTGAAATTTGGCTCCATTTTAAGGTTGAAGGAGGACTTCTTGCACTTAAGCACTGCTTGGCAAGATCTGCCTGCAGCAGTTGGTAAAGAGGTGACCTAGCACAGGGCTAGAGGCGGAAGGCTGCCTCTCCAATGATGTTGCGTTTGCTCACCTAGTCAGTCCTTCAGTTTGACCGGAGGCTGTATTACTTTCACTTTATAACTGAGGGACACAATCTGTCAGGAAGCTCGGAGAGAGGGAGGAGCTGGTCCAGAGTCACACAGCTGGGTGGGGTCAACAGGAAAACCTGTGCTCTGCACTGCAGCATGGGTTTTATTATCCATCTGCAGTACCTCAGATCCCATCAAAGGCAGAAACCCAGTGAACATATAAAAAGAAGTATTACAGTCTTATTTTTATTTATTTATTTTGATTTTTTTCGAGACAGGGTTTCTCTGTGTAGCTTTGC